TGTATAAAGCTAAACTGGAACACTCTGCACTGCAGTTAGTCCAATGGAGAATCACCTACATTTAAAACCAGATGTGTATTTGAACACGTTAACTGTGTGCATCCAGAGATACACTTCAGGCTGAATGCTGTCTGTGGTTCCACTCCTGAAAGGCAATGTATGAAATGGGGAATGAGTATGATATGATATCATACGCATGCATTGCAGGGATTCAGGCAACGCCAGGCTCTACTTTCTGCAGTGGTAGTAACTCAACTATATATACCTACAAAAGCAAATCAGCATCAGAATATGTACCCAAAATGTAATATGGTTATACAGTGCCATCTCTAGAGGCAGACACTCCCAGGAGAGCACTTGGGTGCCCAGCACTGTTTAAACATTGCCTTGATGTCTCCACTGCCAGCATGTGGCAGAGCTGTCAGTGCCCACCTGGATCCCAGCTTTGACACCCGGGCCACCCTCGCTGCCAGACTTTTGTGCTTTATGGAATATTTCTTCATCTGCAGAGAGAAAACTGATGCCTGGTGGCTGCAGGCTGTATTCAGACCAGGTAGTCAAGGTCTGTACCAGGCTGAGTGTGTTTTCCAGCTGCTGACTTGTGCTGCTGGGGAAGGACAGTCACCTAGCTGCACCCAAGAGTGAATGGGACTTCCCTGATCACAGAAGCAGAGTATTTGAGGAGTCCTGGTGTGCACACAAGTCTTCATGAGGGGATGGATCAGCAGAGCTCTTCCTTTGCTGTCTTCTCCATTCTAGCACAGCTCACATAAGCTGCTGTGCTGAAAGAGAGGCCTGCAGGAGCAGGGCAGAGCAAACCTCACATCTAAAGGACTTGTCCTCTTTTGTTGTCTTGTTTGGCTGTCCAGCATGACTCACCTAGGTCCCAGAGGTAAGACTCAGTACTCAGATAGGAGCCCTAAAAGCAGCTCTCTCAGGGATGATTGGTGGAATTGAGTTTACTACTGCTTTATGCAGCTCTAGGACTGGTTTCCTGGAATTTCCATGACAGAAAGGCAGTGTGACGCTGCAGCCTTCTTACTGATTCCTCTGACACTGGTCAGCTTGTGCCTGTCATCTCAACCGATGGTGTTTTCATTTAGTGCTGGTCTCCATTCTCACTGCTGCACCAGTCTCACTCAAGCTGGGTACATGAGTCTCGGTTGCCAATGTCATTTTTGTATGAGCAGTGTGACCATGATGGTGATGCCTGTTTAAAGGGGAGCAGTGTTTCTCCTCACCTGCAGTACATTAATACTCGTGCCACTCATCTAAGTGTGTATTTTGTGATTGCAGTTTCTCTCTTTGACTGTGGACCTTTTCCTTGCTTTTTCTTTCCAGACTCAGGTCATTTTCTCAGAAGCATTCTTTGATTAGATAAATGTGCACCATGTCTATGCTGGAATATGTAAGCTCCGTAACTGCAGAGATCAAGATCACCACTTTTGAGTGAGCTTTTGGTATTTTCAATTCCTTTGGCCTGTGTAATAGAAAACAAAGAAAAGAGATGCTGAAAACGAGTTTTCTACAGACACCTGTTAGGGTAAAATGCATTTGATGACGGCTGAGGTGCATTTCAGTATGGAAAACTGCAACTTAATTTCTTGACTTGTGGAATTCAATCCTATTTGTCAATATATATTGGTATGTGCATTAATACTCAACGTGTTCTTATGGGCACTGGAATAAACAGGGGGAGCATAGTACATTAACATCTCAAGACCGTCGTTAATTCCTTGAAAGCATTTGCTGCCCCTATTTTGCCCTTGCTAGGGATTGTTTGCGGTCGTTCTCCGCGAAATGCCCGTCCTGTGCCCGCCGCATCTTTTTTGGCCATCTGTTGCCATCTGGTGGCAACAGTGTTGAGCGGCCAGGCTCATGTGAGATGGCTTCCAGCAGGAAGTGTGTGCCATACTGTCTATAACTAGGGGCAATCTGGTAACAAACACATGGCAAATTCACAAATTACTTGTCTAACCATCTGCCTTCTCTAATCCAGTGCTGACACAATCTACTGTCACCAACAGTTCCATTTTTCTGACACCAAAATGCATTAAAAAATGCATGTGCAGCATTTGGAAGCTAAAAAAACCCTAAATGAACACTGGTCATTTCTCAGCTTTTGTGCCCTTAATGTCCCTGATGCAGAATCTATGTTTTCTCTAATATTTTTATTAACTTCACTTCTGCTTCCCCATGTAGGTCCTGCAGCCATGGGAGCCTCTTGCATCTTCTCTTTCTAGTTGGGCCTTGCACGTATGCATGCAATGCTGTGACAAAGATTCTGATGAAAATCTTGCATTCCTCACTGTGGCAAAAGCATCTGTAACATGGCTCTATGGTGTCTATGATGCGCCAAAGAGACCTGCAGTAGTATTTGTTCACGGCTGGCTTCCTTCAGGCTGGAGCAATCAGAAGCCCTGGCAGCACTTGTTCCTGGGACGTGAGTGGAAGAAGCAATTCCCAAAATGCAGCAAGCAGTGAGTTCTATTTCTTTCCAAACAGTATGAGTGAGACTGGCCTGCCATTAGTGCTGTGGGTAGTGAGTTTGTCTGAGGTCAGAGGGGGCTCATAAACCAAGCCAGAAAGCTTGCTGTTGAGATGAATGTGAAAAGGGTTTTTCTGTGTGGGGATAAAATAGTCATCAAGAAAAATCTCTGAACTCTGAAGGAAAAAAACACCCTTCGCAATGGATCAGTTTCAGGCCCTTGGTACAGCTTGTCCCCTCCCCTTGCATTTTCACCTTGGTCATGACGGGTCACATTCCCCTGTTAACAACAGGCAGCATTCACTTCTCTGTCTGTATTTAACCACAGGAGCTTGGGTTGCCTCGATTTTTTGGGGAGGAAACAGTCCTGTTTCTCTGCCAGTGAATGTTCCTTGCAGCCAGGCTGTCGTTCCCCAAAGGCCTTCTCCAAATACCTGCTCCTGCCTCTTCGAGCATGAGCTCTGACTCCCAGCCAGTAAGCGGTAGCTGGCTCCCAGGTTGGAAGGCTGTGCTTAGCTCAGCTGCAGGAGAAATAACCCATTGCTAAGGCTGCAGACCTTCTGGGGCTTCTACATTTTCTGGATCCTGATGATTCCTAGCAGATAGACCTTTTTTGGAGAGGGGGACAGAAACTCATGTTACCCAAGAGCTATAATTTGCCAAAGAGTGTGGTAATACTCTCCTCCATCTGTTTCAGTGCAAACCTCTCTGCCTTGGGTGGGCAGGAATGCTTTGAGAGAACACGAGAGGATCTGGAGGGGCATCGTCAGCATTCCCGCAATGCTTCCATGCAATTGTATCTCCGTTGGTCACGGCAGCTGCCCAGCCTGGGATAAAGGTTGGAAGCAGCCAGCCGCTTGTTTAAAATAAGATAGCTGCAACAATGGGAGCTGTTGGCCAAGGCACAGGCCAGGAACAAGGCCAGAGTTATGTAAATGGAGGGTTTTTACTGGAGGATAGATGTAAATGCCGAGGCTGGATGGTGAGTTAATGGAGGGGGCGAGTGAGGGGGGACTGATTTAAAAATAACTACCTAAATAATACAGGCATCCAGCATGAAACATCAAAGCAGCTGGCAGACAGCACAGAGGGTAGCCAGAAGAAATAGAAAGTACGTCTGGTGTCACCCAGAGGCAGAACTCAGCAAGGTTTTTATGAGGAATGTTTTCTGGAAAGGAAATTTGGAGCAGCGTATAAGAATGGTCGTGGCAGGTCAGGTCACGTAGTGCCGTGTCCAGGGAAAAGTACAAGAACAGCTTAAGCATTGCTATTTTCCAGGACACCAGCCCAAGCCTCCTGGGACTTGCGACTCTGGGACTTCTGTGGCAGACTTCTTGGAGGGTTTTTTTATTTAACAGCGTAAAATTAATTTATCAAACTAATTTTTCTGAACACACACACACACACACACACTTCTGGCAACCAAGCGCTTCAGTAGCACCAAGTTCTACTGCAGCCATACTGTGTGACAGAGTGTCCTAGTTAACCCTGCCAACTCTTAAGTTTCCCTAGGTGCCCTCTACTTTTACTCACTGGGACAGTGAATGAATCCAAATCTGCCTTCTCCAGATTATTTAGTATTGTACAGACCCTGCACAGCCCTGTACAGCCTTCTCATCCAGGCTGAAGGTTCATACTATCAGTTCCAGGTACGGAAGCTGGTTTATATCATGGATATCACTGCCACATTCTTCTGGGCCTTTTCCAAGTCTCTTTTTGAAACCGGAGGACCAGAACTGCAAAGAGCATTCAGGACACGATCGATTTATATTTGCTTCATCTCTCCTGGAAACTGATGGACTTGCTTTTCTCACGCTGCTGAGCACTTCACACAATGGTCTACCTCAATATTTTGTTCCTGTATGATATTGGTGAGCTCAGAGGAGGTTGTTTTGTGTATATGCATGTGTGTATATATATACAATATACAATATATATATATATATATATTGCTTCACAGTTGGTTGTTTTCTTTGCCTGAATAACTGAATGTTACTATGAAACACATAATTTTTTCACTCCTTTTCCAGGTGATTTATGGAATAATCAATAAAAATAACAATAATGAGCAAGAACTCGCACGCCATTGGATCTGCCATGCTATACAAACTGATCATATTCCCATCATTTGCCTATCACAGCTCAGTAAGTCTATAGGTATCTGTGGGAGGGTTTTCCTCCTTCTTCGGGTTACTGAGGTTAGTTAACAGCTTTAAAGGGGGAAACTCTATTGAGTACCTTCTGAAAATCCCAGTAGGTTCAAGGAGATCGATCTCCCTTGAACATACTTCTTCACTTCCTCAGCATTTCTCGTCCATCTGTGAAACAAAGGGGGCAGCCTCACCCCAGTGCAGTCTGTACGCTGGTGAGGGCGCATCCGAAATAAATGGCTGTGCTCTGTTTTCCTCCAGAGAAACAAAATCCCAAATCTGGGAAGTTGCTGTGGTCACAAAGGATGGGTCTGCAGCCTGGGAAGCTTCTGAGTTCTCACCAAGATGTTCAATTATTCTACAGATAATTCTTTCTTTTCTTTATAGGCTGATAGTCACTTGTGAAAATGACCTTTTGTAAACTCCAGGAGATATTTGCCTGCTGACACATTGTTCTCCTGTTTCCAGCCCAGTGGCGCAGTGGCTCTCAGCTGTCATTCCCCAAAACAGGTGCTGTAAATCAATACCTTGGTGGCTATATTTCGCCAGCACCCTGGTGGGAGGCAGCACAGCCCTTCTCCAAAGAGACCTCATAGGCGCTTTGTGTGTGCATCTGTCTGTTTGACTGCAGCGAGCGGATGATAAAGGTCCATCACATACTCCTCCTCGTCTCTGCAGGTAAAGGTGTTCTAGCTATTGCTTTGAACAGGGGTCAGCTACTTCCTGAGTGTGCAGGACCATCCATCATTATGGGTGAATGTGTGCTCTGGGAGCAGCCTGTCCTGCTGATAAGGTTTTATGAACACACCAAATTGTTTAAACCAGGACTTTGGAGTGCACTGGTAACAGCTCAGATATTTGTAATTTCAGACACCAGATATTTTGAAGTGATAATTTTTGTGTTTAATTGTCTTTCTGCCGTGTTCTCATGTACTCTAGTGCTACGTGTATTCCAAAATATGTGCAAAGCTCTAATAAACATGGCTTGAAATGTAAAAGTTCATTACAAAAAGTTTCATTAAGCTGTGGAACTACTGACAAGGAAGTAGAATTGATTTGCAGCTGTATGTGTTGTAGTGGGATAAGTCCTTTTATTTGGTCCTCTGAAAGAATGAGTATTTTGTGATCCTAAAAACTTTTCACTAAAGACAGTATACTAAATTCCTACCAAGCCACACCAGAAGGTATCAATGTGAAATATTTTAATTGCATTAATATAGTATAGCCAAGAGTTTGACTTAAATGTGACACTTTAAACATAATGTAGAAGTGGAAAGATGACTCCTGCCCACCCCAGTGCTGCTTCCTGGCAGGGGAAGCAAGCATTGCTTGTCTGTGGCAGACAGCTTTTCTCAGTGGTACCCAAGTATTTTAATACCATCTCACAGCAGGACAAGGTCAAGGAGGAATCCTTGGCATGGCAGCTCAACTGTATGAAAGGAGCTGATGAAAAGTCAGTTAGGAAACAAGGGGAAATCCTGGCTTAGCTTGGAGTCAGCAGCAAAAGTCTTGTTGACTTCAGTGGCCCAGATTCAGACTGAGAGAGGGGAAGGCAAGGCTTGAATATGCCAAAAATGCTTGTGGTGAGGTTCAGGTGGTCTGTTCCTTCTCACTGCCTTAAAGAGGGGGTACATACAAAAACATCCCCAAGCCTCCCTTCCCCTTTAACAGTGAAGCCACTGCAGTCTGAGCACATGATGTGCCTGCTTGTTCTGCAACAGGCTATCTGGGGTTCATCTGTGTTTCTGTGAGGTGGGGATCTGAGCCCTCACCCCTCAGGAGCACAACGCACATGAAACAAAGCTGCTGCCTGCCATTTTCACTCGTGATGCTCTCACAAGGGCTCTTCTCTGTAGCACTGCCAAGTCACACTGAGCAGTCTGTGGGCAGAGATCTCCAAGGACAGGTTGAGACCTTCCCCAAGGAGAGGGAAATATGAGACCACATTGTGAAGGGTTTCCTTCTCTCTCACCACCAGTAAAACCTGAGCAATTCTAGTCAATGAGAGGAGCTCTTCCTCTGATTTAAACTTCAGACACAAGGAGTCTGGATGGTGCTTTCACCTCAGTGTCTTCTTGTGCTTGGCCCTGTCCTTTAATGTCACTGTTACAGGCAAGTGGAATTGAAGATGAAGTAAGCATCATTAGAAATCCCTGATTATTGGTATTCTCTGTGCTTAACAGTCCACAAGTACTGTATATAAGCACAGTTGCGGGCTGGGAGATCCCGGGAGAGATTCCTAATGCTCAGTCTGATGTCCACAGTCATGGCTATTTGTTTTTGTTCATCTCCTGTCTGAAGACTGTTGTTGCCTTATTCCTAAACTGACCTCCAGATTAGATACCTTACCCCTGCTGACAGTGTTTGCAATGCACATAATGCACACCTGAAATGAGGAGTCATACAGGACTCCACCAGCCACCTGCTGTTGATGGCATTTCCTTCCTGCCCACCTTGGATTGACGGTGCTGTAGCCTGTTCTCTGTCCCATCTCACTGATGCCACCCCTGCTGTTCTACAGCTGGGCTGGTCCTGTGCTATGAAGATGAGACTCGCCTCGTCGAGGACTTGTTCAAGGACTACAACAAGGTGGTGCGACCAGTGGAGGACCATCGGGATGCTGTCGTCGTCACTGTTGGGCTGCAGCTCATTCAGCTTATTAGCGTGGTACAGTATGAACCGCTGGCTTATTAACTGTGATAGTGCCAAATGGTATCATTTTTCTAAGGGAACAGTTTTTCTCCTATAATCCTGATGTTTGCTGCTACTGCTTTCTCCTCCTTTTTTTTTTTTTAAGGATGAAGTAAATCAGATTGTGACAACCAATGTGCGCCTGAAACAGGTAACTATAAATAGTGCCAACCATTTAATCCATTTCAAATGAATACACAGGACACAGCCAGAAAGTAACTATTAATTGCTGTGTTGGACAGGTGGTCAGCTAGCAGATAATGTCTTCTTTCTGGGTCTCAAGAACAAAATGTGCTAGTCCCTAAAGAAACTGAAGAAAAGCATTTTGTATTATCTTTCAACAGTACACTTTTGGTATATTTATCTTTCATATGTGTATATTAATTTTTTAATAAGCTTTTTAAGCCAAATTTTAGGTTAATGTAAAAACTTAGCTGGGGATCCCGATAGCATATGCTTATGCTTACCTCCATATCCCAAAGCAAGGGAGGTGCTTGTTTCTAGGCAGTACCCAAACTGCCCCCAGAAGTGCTGGAAGAGGCTCTCAGTGGCTGAACTCCTCCCTCTTTAGCAATGGACAGATGTCAACCTCAAGTGGAACCCGGATGACTACGGTGGTGTGAAAAAAATCCGCATCCCCTCAGATGATATCTGGCGGCCAGATCTTGTACTTTACAACAAGTAAGGGGTGCCGGCTGCCTGGGGAGGGGGGGCACTGCTGCCCCATGGGCTGCTTTCGCACAGCATCTGGGCCCTGGGTACCATGCCTCAGACCAAGGTTCTGCAGCAGCAGGCACGATGACAACTGGGGAACCAGTTGATCTGCAGTCAGAGAACTCCTTTTGTGACTGTGTTAATTAAGCTGCCCATATTGCTGTTAATGTCCTTGTTCCTTTTGCAGTGCAGATGGTGATTTTGCCATTGTTAAATACACCAAAGTGCTCCTGGAGCACACAGGCCTGATCACCTGGACACCACCAGCTATTTTCAAAAGTTACTGTGAGATTATAGTCACGCACTTCCCATTCGACCAGCAGAACTGCAGTATGAAGTTGGGAACTTGGACATATGATGGTACAGTGGTTGTTATTAACCCGGTAAGCAAGGAGCTTGTAATGGGGAAAAGCAGTAAAGAGCTGGATGTATTTTTAGAGAAATCTCAGATTTAGAATGCGATATAACCTTGTTTTGACTGAAAATCAAGCAGGCGCTACCCGTAAATTATAAAAGCCCAATTTGTAGATTTAGCACAAACTTTCCTTGTTTAGCTTCTAAAATTCTGCATATGCATAATTCCTGTGCCCTAACAGTCTCCTACCCATCTATGCTTTGACATTTTTGGGAGAGAGTGGTGGGTTGCTTTTTCTCTGCTCATGGCTTTGCATTTCCAAGGACTTTTTGCCTGTTCTCTCAGGTATGTCTCCTATCTGTAAATATTTAGTCAGTCTTTCTCTTTAGTCAACTATCCCTAAGTGTTTCTGTAAAATATTTAGTTGAATGCTGTGCAGAGGATGATATTCTAAAGCAAAATAGCAAAGACGAGCTGTTTGCTCACAAAAATGCAGGGAGTACCTGAGTTATTGGGAGTCCTGACACTGAGGAACTGCCAAGTTCTGATTTAGTTCAGAGCATCTAATGTAATTTTTTTGCTGTCAGGAGAGTGATCGCCCAGATCTGAGTAACTTCATGGAGAGTGGGGAGTGGGTGATGAAGGATTACCGTGGCTGGAAGCACTGGGTTTACTACGCTTGCTGCCCTGACACCCCCTACCTGGATATCACCTACCACTTCCTCATGCAGCGCCTGCCTCTCTACTTCATCGTGAATGTCATTATTCCCTGTCTGCTCTTCTCCTTTTTAACCGGGTTTGTTTTCTACCTACCCACAGATTCAGGTACGTAAATTTATGTGTTCTACTGCCATAGAAATTGCTTTTCTAACAAGCTTCTGAGAAATTCTCAGTATTCGAAATCACTAGACAACTCAAAGGGCAGCACCTACTGAAACTGGACATTTCAGCTCAAAATAATGGCTCTAAACATTCTGCAAAGCATAAGTGCTGAAAGCTGAAGCTACTGGTATAATTAAATTGGGCTGTTTCTCACAGAAATCACTGATTAACTGTCCAGTTAACTTCTGCACAACAAAGATTTAGCTAGTTGATTTTTATGGCTTGCCATAGGTAGGAGTTAGTGTGTTAGTGTATGACAGAGTAAGTGAGCACATAGGGGTGACTGAGGCCCTTTTGCACTGTGTTAGAGGAGAGAACTTATCTGTTCACGCACGTTGCTTCATGTACGAAGAGTATCTTGACCTATTCAGTCTCATTTGTCGCTGCTGAGCAGCTCTTGCTCCCTGCAGCCATTTCCTCTGTTTCGTTCATTTGACCTTGTGTCAGCTTTTCATACTGCTTAATTTAATTAAGCCTCTTTTATGAAATACTTGATGGTTGGGTTTTGGGTTTGGGTTGATTTGGGTTTTTTCAGTGGAAAACTTTCTATAAAGTTGAACTGGATAGAAAAGCAAGATGTTAATCATGTTTTGCGGTTCATTTCTGACATCCTGCATGCAGGAAGATCTCAAATAGAGACTGACCTCTGGTGTCAGATGTGATTTTTGTCTGCCCGCTTAGCCCAGCATGAGCCTGCCAGAGAGCAAAGTCGGTGAGCCCCCAGGGGGCTGTGGAACGAGCACTAATCAGGTGCATACCTTCCATCATTCAAAAGGCACAGCCCATGAAGTGCTCCTGGCACTTTCCATATCCATTACCCATACCTCAGCCCAGCCATACCTGGTGATTCCCACTTTAATGCTGGAGCTGATGCTATGTTAGGCGCTCAGGTTTGCTCAATCTAGTTACTGCTTTGGATGCTGGGGGAGATGGTACCAGTCACGTGTACTTGAGTGAATAGTGATCCTATCTTGTCAAATAAATATTGTCTGTACTGAATGATAACAGCAGCACTGGTATTTTCTTTTTCTTTTTTGATTTTTTTTTTCCATGGCAGGTGAGAAAATGACTCTCAGCATCTCTGTCCTGCTGTCTTTGACTGTGTTCCTTCTGGTCATAGTGGAGCTGATTCCCTCCACTTCCAGTGCAGTGCCTCTGATAGGCAAATACATGCTGTTTACAATGGTGTTTGTCATCGCTTCAATCATCATCACGGTCATCGTCATCAACACCCACCACCGCTCCCCAAGCACTCACACCATGCCGCACTGGGTCAGGAAGGTGAGTTCCATGGCTTTGCATGTTTCCTGGTTTCTACTGAGCACTCCATATTTTATTGGCAAGTTTTCTAATAAAAGTCAACAAGAATTGGGGAAGTAAATGCATCATGTTAAGTCTCTCTGGGCACAAGAGCCAGTGTTTACTACTTAGCTGTGCATAAAGTCAGCAAGGCTGCTAAAGTGCTCCTTTAAGCAACAAAACTTTCCACTGGGGTAGTCTTGAAGGGAACAGATGAGGCAAAACACAGGCAGATGAAGGTATAGGGAAAAGAAAATGTCCAGCTGGACTCAGATTACATTTCCTGGTCTAATTCTTCATCTGACTGCAAAGCACTGCTGCCTGCCAGTGGCCAAGTTTGCCAGCCCATGTGAGTGCAGAACACAAAGGCCATTGGAGATATCTGCGTTCAGCAGCCAGTTTTGCACTGCAAAAGACAGCTTAGCAAAGGCTATGATCTTCTCTGTGGTTTTCCAGTAAATACAGTTGCTCTGTAGTCCTTGGGAAGCAAGGAGATCCTTGCACAGTAGTCTAAATGGTAACCACAAGATGTAATGACAGACATCCAGTTTTTCCTACAAGTTCTTTGCCAGAGAGACAGTACCCAAGAGGAGCCATTCAGTCATTCTTGGCTTTTTTTAAGCCTTCCTGGGTTCATATTAAACCAGAAAGTGAACAGGAGACTGTTCTCTGTATTTGTAATTATACTTCTAAGGATACTGCTTACATCAGATTCACTCTGCAGCACAAACAAGCCCTGCAGAAGGGAGATTTCAACAGGCAAACACTCCATGTGCTTAAAAATGCTCTGGCAGCAAGCCTGTTATTCCAAAGGAAATTATTGTAGATCTTATGTGCATTTGTAATAGCAAAGTCCAACATAAGTAGCCAAAAGAGATCCTTTGTAGTCCATTCTTCAAGCCAGATTCATAAGCAATATGCTCCAAATTAGACAAGATTGATAGAGCTCTGTCAGCTTCCACTAGCTGAGGCTCTGCTCCAGGGCATCACACACCCCTCCATGGATAGATGTTGGCTATATGGCAGGGGAAAACGGTTTCCAAATCACACGTGACAGGCCTGCAGGTGACTCCATCTGCCCTAGGACATAAGGCTGACAAAAGCCCCCATGAGACTGAAGCATGGGCTATGACATACTCAGAGAGGATCTGTAGCTGATCCAGTGTGGGAAGCATCTGGGACCAGAGAGGCTTGCCTTTGTTCAGTACGCAGCTGCATCTGTAACACAGCCTCACAGACCAGCAACTGTTGTCTTCTCCCTCCTTGCTTTCAGATCTTTATTGACACAATCCCAAACATCATGTTTTTCTCTACAATGAAACGACCATCCAGGGATAAACAAGACAAAAACATTTTTTCAGAAGATATTGATATTTCAGAAATCTCTGGGAAGCCAGATTCTGTGCCTGTCAACTTCTACTCCCCGCTTACCAAAAATCCAGATGTGAAAAATGCCATAGAGGGAATCAAATACATTGCGGAAACGATGAAATCAGACCAAGAAGCCAGTAATGTAAGGCATTCTTTGTGCATGATTCATTTCTTGCTTTCAAATTGCTAAGTCTTTTGTTGTTGTTGTTGTTGGGGTTTGTTTTTTCTTTTTTGGCAAAATATCCCTGCCTCACAAAACCACTCCAAGCCCTGGTTTGTGTTTAGCAAGGGACAGTCTTCTCCCCTTGATGCAGTTAACAAGGAGCGACAGAGAATTTTCACAGATGGCAACTGAATCTTGCCCCCCCAAAAAAAGGAAAAGGAAAAAAAGTGTCAGTGCTATAGTTTTCCAACTGTGGTATGTGAAGCTGTGGAGATGGAGCGTCTGTGAGAGCAAAGGAGTTTCAAGAGCTGTAAGCAAGTTCCAAAACACATTCCTCCTGTCTCCCACTCAGGCATCTTCCCCTACAGTAAGCGAGCTCCTGTCACTTGTGAAAGCCAGGAAGCAAGCTGAACTCTGAAAAGCTGGTCATTTTACCTGAGAAGTGTTAAACATAACTTACAAATTAGAACTCCAGTTTTGAGAAGGTTTTGGTTTATTCCTGAATGCTACAAGTAGTCCCTGCGAATGAAGCACGTCATGAGGTACTCTGATTACTGACTCTTTCCACATTGCAAGCCAAAGAATAAATGTGTGTGGAGTCACATATGGCAGTGTTCCCTGGGAAAACCTAGCTCTGCTGCCTTCTAACACGTTCAATGGGATTAACCCCCTCTTTTATTTCAGTTATCACAGCTTTTGGATGGGTAATTCAGTCCTGGTACTTCACCTTTCTAAATGAACATAGCCCTTTGGTTTTGAGCTGCAGGCTAGCCTGAAGATGGGGAGAGAGTTCTCCAGGACAGTAATTTGGCCTGTGCTCTTGCAAAGGATGTGCCTCCTTCCCACAGACAGGATTTACACCATGTTGTTTTTTCCTGTGACCAAATTCCTGGAGCATGTGGAACGGCTCTGGCTGTAGTCTCATGTTCCCCATGACTCCTATCCCTCCCTACAGATCAAGTCTTACCCTCAGCAGGGTTGGCGTAGCTTCAGGATCTCTGGGCTTCACTTCCTCCTAGACTTACAAAGAGGGTCTTCAGGTTACTGGCAAGTGCTCCATTCGGAAGTGGAGCCCAACTGCTTGTGTCATCTGGGCACTGCTGATATCACTTCCAGGGGGTTTCAAAAGCCAAGTTCCCCAAATAAACTGAAGGTTGTGGCTTCTGAAGGCTGCCACTTCATTACTTATGAACACCTTAAAACAGTGACCTCTTAGCAGTGACTCCTAAATTACAACAGCCTCCTCTACTTGTGGAGCAACTAAGGCAAAGTAGAGGGTACCTTAGGCCAGTACATGTCACACAGGCAGAGTTACACGGTGGAAATCCCAGCCCTGCTGCATTTGGCACTTCACTCTTACAAGTGCTGGGTTCCCACCAAAAGCATCAGTGGAAAAGCAAGTGGTTCAGAGTGTCCCATAGCTGGAAAAAAGACTAAGGTTGCTACAGAGAAGGTTTTCCCAGACCTTAGAGTGTATACTAGGCATGGAAAGAGCTAAATTAATGGAAATTGCTTAGATATCCCATGAGAATTAAAAAGCAATAGAAAAATACAAGCCAGTTGTGCCAAGTTAAGCATTTTGCTTTCAACGTTTCAAACTCTCTGTCAAAAGCAACCATTTGCTTAAAAATTAAGCTTTTTAACATTTCTTTTTAATGAAATTGTTCACTAAATTGCTAGGGTTGCTAAACAATATAAGCTTGAAACTTGTATTTCTAGGTTGTTTAGGCTTTCTGAACAACTGACCTGCCTTTGAGAGGAAAATAAGTATTTTTTGCATAGTGCAACTTAAGGAAGAAGCTTTCTGTTGTTCAAGACAGTAGATTACAAGAGTTCCCATAACAAACGTGGCTCTGCAGAGACTTTACCATCTCCTTTGTTTCTTTCCCAGGCTGCAGAAGAATGGAAGTTTGTTGCGATGGTGGTTGATCATCTTCTCCTTGGCATATTTATGCTAGTTTGTATTATAGGAACATTAGCTGTATTTGCTGGTCGCCTTATTGAATTAAATCAGCAAGGATGAACATCAACTGGAAACTATTTGCTAGCCTGGTCAGCATCTGAAAGCATCTCAACCATCAAAACCTGGCCAGCCTCCGAAAGTTTCACAGACAGGAATCTGTCCCTTCTGGGAGAGAGCAGGGATAATAAAATGTAAGGCTCCATACTTAGCAACTCTGAGCTGCCGCTCAGTGGTATTTCATTGCCAAAAAGCAGCACTCACATTATTGGTAGGCTGAATGGCTGTCAGCCAGGTTTTGATCTGTTTCACCATTTATTAAAAATGTAAATGTATTAATAAGACTGTCTGACTCTGTAACCCTCAGATACAATTCCACTGAAATCAATAGCAGCCTAATAAGCTTTAGCTGAGCTGTAAATCTGTATCGAGCTTTAGCATTCAAGCTGGTTTCAATATCTGCTCTGTGGTTTTCTTATTGGCAGCATCACAGATGATTCCTCTTGCAACACTAGATGTAGCCAGCAAACTCCTCGATAAAGCACTGGATTTTCATGCACAAATCTGAAATGACTGTCATATGTGGCTTTACCTGTAGAAACTCTCGATGCAGCAAAGAGAGCATAGTATTCCTTACTGTGGGAATGGTCCAGCCTCAGCCAGTTGGGTCCCATAGACATTTTTTGCTATCAAGTCCCTTGGTAAAGGACTTGTAGAGGAGGATTTTTTTTGCCCTGTTTTATTACTGAGCACTGCTTCGTGATCATTAGGCATCCCAGTGACTATGCTGCAGTTGCTGCCCTCTCATTTCTGCCTGCTAATACTCATTATAAGAAGCCCCACATTCATTATGTTTTAATACTCAGGATTTTCAGCTGTCAGCAGAGATCTTCTGTGACTGCAGTCTAAGGGAAAAGTTTAGGCTGGAGCAGAATGGGTGGTATCCATAAAATAATCTCTGTACTCAGCCTGCTCCGTGTTGGGAAGGTCGGTTTCATCTCTCCATTCTGAGGGATGGCTAATGTTGGGGCAACTTTGAATTTTGGGTTGCTCAGTAAACCAGCTTAAACAAATTATCTCTGCTCCCTGAAAGCTGTCCCCTGCCCTGCTGAAATAGATCCTCAGCATTAAAGTCAGACACAGCATCACAAAGATCATTCGTAGGGCAGGTGTGTGTCTGGGTTTTCCTTATGTATGACAAAATGACACCTCCTCTTCTGAGCAGCACAAAAAATCGCCCAAACTTTGCTCAAATGTTGAGCAGCAGCTCACTCTAGTGGCTACAGCAAAGTAGTGCTGCCTTTGGCCAAGCAGCTGTGGGGTTTAGTAAAGATTCCACATAAGCAGAAAGCCTGTGTGCGTTTCAATAGTACAGCGTGGAAATACTAGCGCGCTGCCTGGTTTTCCTCAAAAATAACTAAGGAGAGGTGGGGCAACTCATGGAAGTTACTCACCTTTCCCAGCTGGTTGTCCGAGCCAATAGAACTACTTTGCTAACAGCTGTGACCAATTTGCTGTGAGTTTAATAAATGTACAGCATGTGTTAATACTCTACAGGAATGTGTCGTGTCTGCAGAGGACAGGCATTTGAAAAGCTCTATAAGGAAAATCAGGCACTTGTGCAATACTTCCATCATTGCATAGTGTTTGCTGGACAATGTTTTGGTGAGCTGCAGTCCTAAGCAAAGCAAACCGTTTGTCTGTGGCAATTGGTCACTTGTAGGCCTCTGCTCAGCTCTTACTGTTTAGATTATGGTTTTTTTTGCCTCCCTGGATGATCATTATCCCTCTAAATGATCGCTGAAGATGTATGCTGGGTGAAGCCTCTGCTGACAGATGGAGCGCTTGCTGCAGCTCTGTTTATCTTCAGTGCCAGCTCTCTGCGCTCAGCCCTTGAAGGGAGTCACACAGCTCCCTGGCTCAGGATGAGCTAAGCTGCAGTGTAACAGTGCCTGGGACTTAATTGGAGAGACTGTGATTGGCACTAAAATTGACAGAACAATCCTCTTAGAGCAGCATGTGGTTGAATCAGCATTAAAAACAAACATCAAATAACAAGATTCATGGTGAATGTCTACGGGACCTTTGTTCAGCTTCCCCAGCTTCCTCAAAGCATATCTGGGTCTTGACCTCCAAATTGCACCTATCTTGAGTGCCTGCCTGCTTGCTTCTCCAGCTCTGTTCATATAAAGCTAGCTACCACATAGCAGTGTTTTCCTTCCACTTGCTCATAAAAAGTTCTGAAATTATTTATTTGAAAATGTTAATTTGTTATCAATTGTTCTGTCTTATGTGCACAGCAAACCTTCTGCCTTCCTACTGCTCCAAGTCTTGGTGAACTATTCACATCTCTAAAGATGTAACACCCGGCAAAAATAAAAGCTAAAAACTTCCCTTTCTCAGGTTGCAGAATCCGGGCATTGTACCCTGACTCTCCAGACAGATGGTACTCCAGACACCAATGAGCACACTTCAGGAGAGAGTTCATCTGCATCTGGTTTTTGCTTTGCTTTGAATACTCAGATTGTCCCAGTCGTCTTTATTCTCTGTTTCTAGTTCACCTTTGTGAATGCCTTTTTCCTGCATACCACTAACATGCCATTACCAGTATCCATCTACTGAGAGTATCTACTGAAGGAGAGCACCTTTACCTACAAACAGACTATTCCTTCTCATCTGCTACTGTCCTTTTTAACATGTCAGCACAGCTGTATCCTGCTAAAACAGTAGCTTTGGGGGTTGTAAATGTGCTGCCTCAGTCACTGTCAAAGATAATTCTCTGTCAATGTCTAAGTACATATTGTCTAACAATTTCTCATTTACAGCACTGTAGTCTCTCCCTGCAATCTTAACATTAAACTTTCCTCCATGGGTAGCACCAGCACCCCCCAGGGAGATGGACATGGATGATACTTGTGTGATCTGCATGTGCATCTCTGCTGCCTTGCTGCCTTTAACAGGCAACTTTTGGCTCTGAGCTTTGACTGGCAATTCTCACTTGCTAAAGCTCCCTAATAAGTGTGAAAAACAGAGAAGTGCAAACACTGTGTTGAAGCAAGCAGCCGCCACTTAAATGAAAGCATAACAGACATCTCCAGGTGAGAAGGTGTTGCTTTCATAGTGATAGTACCTTGAGAAATTAACATGTCCCGCTTTTAACTGCCATCTTCTTGCGACTAAAGCTGCTTTAATTCACTTTGAGCCTGTTGATAACACCCTATTTATGTCCTTAATAGAGTAGCTCTCTGGAACATTTTTCACCTTCTTCAGCCTGATTCTCTTTTCATTTTTTATGCAATTTGGCAATTAACTTTCCCCTTCCCATTCCTTTGGATGACCTTTAACTACTGTACCATGGGTACTTTGCTCTCAAAGATGCAGTCACCCCCAAATCTCTTTCTGCTTTGGCACTTCTGCTGTTCAGGGACCTGACCCTTCTGAGGGGGTTATTTGAGTTTTTAAAGTCTATTACCTTGTACCAGCTCCCAGGGAGCAATTCAACCTCTGTGTGAGTCTGTAATGAGAACACGCTGCTGCTCTCTATCGTCAGCAGGCAGATGAGCTAAAGTTGATGGCCTTATTCTGTCTATTCAGATGGTTGGATCTCAGCTCTGTAAAACATAGTTGAGTTGATCAAGAGTGAGGGGAAAATGACATTCACTTGCCCAAAGAAGTTGTGAATGCTCCATCCCTGGATGGAGCCAGGTTGGACAAGGCCTGGCCAGGTTGGACAGGGCCTTGGATGACACGGTTTAGTGTGAGGTGTCCCTGCCCATAGCAGAGGGTTGGAACTAGATGGTCTTAAGGACCTTTCCAAAGCTAACTATTCTATGATTCAATGAGCTTGCATATGCCAGGTATGATCATTCACCTGCAACTAGTGCTTGGGTTCTAAAGCCTCCTTCAGTTTGAGAGTTTTTAAGAACTCAGATTATTTAAGATTATTGTTTCAGGCAATTGTAGGACAATTTAAGTGCTCATTTTTTCTCCAAAATACAAGCTGCTGCCAACCTCCTTGCTGTGGCCAGCTCCCCAGAGATGTGTGAAAGCAGTGTGAGTTTCATCAGCATGCTGACTCAGCAGTTCCTGTTTCCACAGCTGAAGCAAACCACAGCAGGTCAGGACAGCAGGGTGAAAGAGTATATGTAACATAGGCCCTGCAAAGTGCATAAACACTGTGCTGCTGTTGGAGAAAGGAAGCACATTACCTCCCTGAAAACGTTTGTTTTCTGGTATCGTGGCATGCAAGATGTTGCCTTTAAAGTCACTGATAGTTTAGCACACCAAAAATGCTATCAGGATTGGACACTTTTAGAAGGTTGCTCTGCCTGGATCCAGTCACAAGACCTCACATTTTCGTGTGTTTACTAGTGCCAAAGTCTAGCTCAGCCTCCAGCCCCTAGACACGCTCCTGGTTGTAAATTCCCTCCCTCCCTCTTTCTCTTCCTGAAAAATTGTGAAACTGGTGCAAAGTCTCCCATGCTTCCCTCAGAGGAATGTTGCACAGACACTGACTTTAACAAAGCTCTGGAGTACTTTCTCCCTTTCTAGAAGCCAAATCCTAGCTGCAGGCAGGACAATCATGCACTGCTTTGCAAAAGGTTCTTTAAAACAGTTGTACTTTGAACCCTGATACAGGACTGGCAGAGCTATGGAAAGCAGCTAACCTGCAGGTGATCATTTCCATGCCCAGTGAGAGCCCTGCTGAGTTCCATTGCCTGTAGAGGGGTTATCTACAACAAGGACAAGACAATTTCACTCGTTACCATGTGACAGGCCAGACTGACCCACAGGCAAGAGTCCAAAGGAGTCTGTAAGCTGCTGCAGCTTTAGTTGTAAGCCTTATGGGTCATTCAGTGGATTTGCCATAAAGGCAGAACTCTTTGCTAGCAAGGGCTGTCACCATTTCCCTTCATCTCAGCACAGATCTCCCATCACAGCACATCCTCCCAACTTTTAACAGCCAAGCAGATCTGTATCAGTGTTTGCTATTTATCCCATATGGAGCCTGGAATAAACACATCACATGGTATTTCCCCAGTGCGTAGACAGGAGGAAGCTGTTTGCCTCTACGTGACTCTTCAGCTAATCAATGACCCGAATGCAGTATGCCGTGCTAAGGAACCTCATGTGAATTTGTGACCCTCTTTAGGGAGCGTTAGGTCTGTAAAGACAGTAAACACAAAGTATCGGCAGTTTTTCCATTTGTGAGCTCCGTGAGTTTTGCTTGCAAGTTGATCTATGTTGTGTGCATGGGTCAGAAGAAGGTAGAGAGAAAACATGGTACTTGGTTTTGTGTCCATCTTGTAATGCTCCAATTGTGCAATGACACAGAAACAGAGACATTACCTACATAAAAGCCTGGCAAAGGTTTGAAACTTTACACTAAAGGCAAATCAGTAATGCCATTGCTCTTAGGACTGCATGCCTGACCATAATGCTGTGTCTTTGGGCAGCTGGCCATCTCCTGGTCAAAACATGAAAGTAGCTGAGCACACACACTACTCATTCTTTGATTTTGCTGGGACATGCTGCTACAAGTAAATCAAGAATATACATAAGTTCTTCAGGACACCTGTCCCTAATTTCATATGTTTTAGATAACAGTGTAATGTGGCTGCTGGCTTGACCACGTTCATGCACGCAGTAAACAAAACCCACCCAAATACCTCCAAAAGGTGGAATCCTACTGAGGCAAAAGCATGTAGGATCAATGTATTGGCTCAAACAGGCACTTAGGACACAGGTCTCATCCTTCAAACCTTGCTCCTAGCTGCCCAGGCTATGCCATTACACATACTTTGGGCTGTTTTCCGTTCAAGACCCAAAAACATTAACAAAAGTTTTGTTTCTAGAAAACTTAGCCAAGCTGACAGGGAAAAGGAAGCAGAGTCTATTGCTTGTCTGGCAAAGCTATCTCTGTGTGAGTTAATTGAGGTAAGATGCACAAATGCCTTTTGGGGCATCATGTAGAGAGGAGTAATTGACCTTCCCACACCTTGGCATACTGCAAACCTAAAAAGGGAAAAGCAAGTACCTCTTCCCCACTGTTTAATTACATTTCTACTCCACTGTGTGTGTCCCTGCCTGCTGCCTTGCCGTTCCCCAAGCTCCACTACCCCTCCCCTGCTGGCTGCTATCAAGGCCATGGGAGGCAGGTAGGGAAAACGAAGTGTGTAGAGAGCTCTGCGGACAAATAGAG